TGAAAGATACGGACACATGGCTGTATAAAAGTGTCAAGTGATGTCAAATTCGAGTTATCTTGTGTGTATTTCACCTTCGAATGGTTAGAGATATCCGTGTGATTCAGTACATATGGAAATCATGGGATATGATCATCGTTAAGTGTGTTATACTAAGTGTCAATTCAATCCGTAGGGACATTGACATTTAAGCATGAGATGAAACTTAATTGATAGAAGTAGAGAAGGTTTTAAAGGAACACTCTAAATGGGGGAGGATTGTTTGATATTTAGAGTGTTGATGGTTGCGCGCCCGCGAACCATGAAGTGCGCCCGCGCAAGGTAGGCGCGGCCGCGCAGAGAGCGCGCCTAAACCGCGTACCTCTCTGGAATTTGTCATTTTGGAAGGATGAGGTTGGCCCGTGCGTCCTGGATGCGCGCCCGCACTTGTGGTTGCCCCTAAACCGCGCCCCTCACTGCCTTCTTGTGGAAATTTCGCAAATTTGGTGAGGAGCGCCCGCTCCTATATGAGGAGCGCCCGCTTCACCTGGTGGCGCGCCCGCGCCTCATGGTGGAGCGCCCGCGCCTCCCTGTTTTGCGGTTTTTTGACGGTTGAGTCTTTTATTAAAAGACTGATTTCGTGAAAAGAAATGTAAAGAAGTATTATTGTTTCCTCTCTGAAATTTACTCCTCTCTACACCATTATTGAAGAAACTTGCAATCTCTTCATTAATCCTCTATCATTTAAGTTAATTGATTGAGAATTTGATCATTTTTCTACACATTTAAGTGCTTAAAGTGTAGAGTTTGTCTATTGTATCTCAAAGTGTATTTCTAGTTCAACCCAAGCACCGTTGTGGGGGAAATTAACGCTTTAGGAAAGTGTTCTCACGCCTTAGACAAGTATCAAGTATCGAAGACTCACGTAGTCCATGGTATTCTCGTGTTCTTGGATGTTCATTTGGCTTGGAGTGAGGCAAGTATAGTTTTTCATACTTGTAGTTTAGTTTGATACTCTGTAATTTTTGCTTTCTAAACTTGTTGGTGTTTGGTTGTTGGTGTAATTAATATTATATCACATTGTAATTTTATATTTCTCAAATTCTTGGGGTTAGAATTTGTTCTTTATAAGCTTACTATATAACAGTTCTATGGTAAACTTAAAAGCCTAGAAATTGTTATTGGCAAAGACAAAAGACCTCGTAAACAGATATTATTCTGTAGGATTAATCATGTAAACTTAGCTTAAATAAATAAAGCACAAACGCAAAAATACTTTAATAAATACAAAGTGCAAAACATAAAGTCAACACAAATAACTATAGTCGACTGTTCCCTAACCCTTCATCTGAATATCGTTTCAGAGTTTGAAATCATCAGAGGACTAAAAAGTGATCAACTAAAGTCGACATCTATGTTCCGAACATTGTGTAGCCCTTGTCCGAAACCAATCTCCGCGATTTACTGTAATTCAAGAAAGAGACTAGAAAGAAAATAACATAATACAATTAATAGAAAACATCACATTCGAAGTATCTAAAGCCTAGTTTTGGCTACTTGATAAAATAGAGGAAGCTATAAGATCTTGATATGCACATATCTAAGGAAGTGGTTAAAGTATTGGTTTGATTACATGAGTATACTCTAAGTGATGCCTCTTTTAGTTTTGTTCTCATTTTCTAACACAAAAGTTTCTTGTCTCCATGAAATTTACAAAGAGTTTACAAATTGCCTTTAAGCTATGTTTCCTAATATTGCATTATAGGGAATGCCCATATGATTGACTTTAGGAATTTGTTTAACTCACTTTAGCGGAGTATGCTTCTGTTGTAAATAAGGATTTCTTTGACTAGAAAGCTACGAAAATAAACAGAATAATCGGAAAATTTGTCAAATTAAGCTCGTGTTAGAAATTATTTACCAAAGTAAATGAGTGGCAAAACTATTTACCAAACTAAGCTTCTAGGGTAAAACGTCATGTAGGGTGGCGTTTTTACCCTGGCCTTTTTTTTACAAAAAATTCAGTCTAGGGTAAAACGCCAACCTGGTTGGTGTTTTACCTTTGACTGAAATTTTCTTAAAAAATTTGGCCAAAGTAAAACGCCAACCAGGCTGGCGTTTTACTCTCAGACATAGCAACCAACCACACTTCCTCTAGCATTTAAGATGAAGAACATTCTCATTCGATGTCACCGTGGTGTAGAACTGATTCCGTTGTATGGAATACAGTTTCACCATTTCTTGGAGCACTTTCTTACTGTCGAAAAGCATGCCCTTATCAAATTCTCCCCCGAAAACAAACGAAGTCTGGCTCCCCGAATTAGCCCAATACATTTCCACCTCATAGTTCTCGTTTATTTGAGTGAACCAAGACAATAGAGTTCTAGCCACAACATCATCAACAGACAATTCATTGTTTATAACATTTTCCTCATCTGCGCCCTCACCCTCGTTATTTGTATCCTCATACATATCAAGAACAGAAAATTCGTTGTTTACAACAGGTTCAACATTCACCAAAGTTTGAGACGGTGTTGCTTGAACATGTTTTTGAGTAGGAGAGTAATTGTGCAACTGCATCGGTGATGAAATGTCATTGTTTGAGGTAGATGGACCAGGTTGCTGCAACATTGGCACCGACGCTCCTTCATGTACGGGTGCAGTAAAATGTGAACTGAATGGAATGTCAAATTCATCGTCGTGTAACATTCTACTGAAAGATCCCATTCCATATTCAAATGACGGAATGTTGTATGAGGGCATTTGTAACGAGCTTGTATTGTATGAGGGAAGATATGTAGGTTGTTGCTCTGTCAAGCGAATAGTCGGTTGAGTACATATAGGTACCATTTCCACATATAAATCAGTGGGAAGAGACCTCATTGCAACGACACCCCTCAAAACCTCCAAATGGTCGTCATTCAAAACAGGTAAGATTTGAACCCCACTAACACTCTCAAACCTCATTTTAATGTTCAGTTCAACATTCGTTGGTTTGAACCAGTTATAGTATAAACCTTCTTCAATAAATCATTGTAAGTCATACAAGGTTTCAATGCCAAGGGTTCCATTTTTCCTCCTCTATACTCGACGTTCGATCCGACACACAAAATTTCACTCCCCCAACGACATAACAAAACAATCAATTATGAAGCCATGTTCTACATAACAATCGGAACACATATTAGATGACACAAATACACAACACAACTAACTAAAACCACAATGATTCCATTAAATCCTCAAGCTAAGTGTATATACAACTTAGTGTTCAACAATGTAGTTTTTACCTAGTTAATCAACAATGTAGTATATATTTAAATGTACCTAATTCAACAATGTAGTTCATAAACATACTTGAAATTTACACACTAAGTATGAAGAATAATGTATACTTCATATACATGATTTGAAATTAGACAGCATACATATAAACATACTTAATTTCAATAATTAAACAACAATGTATTATTTAGTTATACTTATTTCGCATACTTGAACAACAATATAGTACATACATTGTAAATTACAAACATAAATTCCCAAAAAACATCATAAACAAGTAAAATAGTTAAATTCAATACATACCTCAAATTCGATCAATGTAGTGCGTAAAAGTGTTGAACAAAAAAAGAGGAATAATTTGTAGTGACTATGATGAAGATCTAAGCAATGGGATGTGATGAATTTGTTGCAAATATGGAGGATTGGGCGAGCGAAGTGGCGCGGGTTAGGGTATCGAATTTGGGGGTTTTTGAGTTTTGAAGAACAATGAAAAAAAGAAGCTCGCTGGGAAAATATACCCGATACAAAAACGCCAACCTGGTTGGCGTTTTTGGTATAATTGTAAAACGGCAGCCTGGTTGGCGTTTTACTTTGGCCAAATTTTTTAAGAAAATTTCAGTCAAAGGTAAAACGCCAACCAGGTTGGCGTTTTACCCTAGACTGAAATTTTTTACAAAAAAAGCCACCCTGGATGGCGTTTTACCTTGTAAGCTTAGTTTGGTAAATAGTTTTGCCACGCGTCTACTTTGGTAAATAATTTCTAACAAAAGCTTAATTTAGCAAATTTTCTGGAATAATCCTTATAAAGCCCTTGTTTTGTGGTTGATAAAGATGAATCTTTGTTTCACTAACCTATTATTAGGCTGCTTAGTTTTGCTACGGATGTGCTTGACAATATAACTTTAGGAAACTCTCCAACAGACCTCTGACATCTCCTATTATCATTCTTAGCTTCTGACTGTAAAAATGAGCTCCAACACAAGCTTTACTTAGAGATCGATCCCAAAAAAAAAAAAGGTACCCTATCTAGATCTTTCTACAACAATCAAACAAAAAAAACTCCCTCTTACCTTTTTTCCTCGTCATTCCCTCCTGAAGCTAAATCGTTAATTTCATATTTTCATAATGTTAATATAGTAATATACATTACGAATTTACTTCTCAAGTTCTCAATTTGGGGATTTGTTTTGCTAAATTGTAGAATTTCATATGCTATTTGACCGTATATTTGACTTATTTGAGCCGTAATGCCGTATAATAGTATAATTTCTGTTTAATTTATACTGATTTATTACTTGATTATTTCTGATATTCTTTTTCATTGATAATTTGATATTGTCATATTGATTATTGAATTTTTCATTCATTCATTGATTTCATTCTGCAATCTGCATTTATCATGTGTGAGTAGGACTGTAGCAGACTAGCAGTATATGCCATTATACCATGAGTTTAGAGTCATTTTGGAAACGTGCCGGGAAGTCTCAAAAGTCTTCAACTTGTTCTTCACCTAGTTAATTACAATTTCAAACTTCCGAAGTTTCGAACCCACACTTCAAAAATACTGGAGACGCCACTGAGTTCCAGCTGTTTGAGTGGATATGACATAACTGTGGCATATAATTTTAGAGTTTACTTTACCTTAACTTTACCTTTGGATGTGTTATAGACTTATAATGCATATTTTAGAGAACTTGAATATTAAAGTTAGTTTTTTAAGAACACAATTAATGGGGCTTACTTTTGGAGAACTCATTTAATCAAGCATATCATTGGAGAATTTACTTTACTGCTTTTTCATCAGATGCCAAAGCAAAATCCCAGAGAACTGAATCCTTACATGAGGAACAATGGAAGTGGCTATCCTGAAGATGAAGAGCAAATAAAGTCCAGCAAGGATCAACTTTTGTCATCTTCTGTAGTGGGGGATGGTGGAGCAAGCTGGAGAATGAAGGCTTTGAAGCGTGCGCAGGAGCAAGCAACACGTGAAGGGCGAAATGTTAAAGAGGTATGTTTGCACCTCCATAAACTTTGAGGGTCATGTTAATTGTTAGCCAAATTTTTTTTCTGATATTAAGTATGTCAACTATTTTTCAGGTTGTTCAAGAAAGGTGGGGATCTCTTGGTCATCTTGCAGCATCTGTGGCATCTCAGAGTGCTGCTGCTCCTCGTGCTCATTTGCCTGCTATAAATTCTCGAAGGATGGGAGCATGTGGGGAAGCGAAACCAGGCTCAAACAATAAAAGTAGAAGGGGTAATAAAAAGGTGAGTTGTTAATTAACACATGTTACTGACTAACTCATTGCCTAGTCTTAACGTTGATTACGAGTTTCTTTATATATTCTGTTAGTCATACCACTGTATGATGGACTGCTAGCAACAACACATAACAGAATAATAATACTAGTTTGCAGAACAAAATAAAGAGAAAGATGGAAGCTTTTTGATTACTAATCTAGTCAAGCACAACTCAAATATAAAGATACTACAGAACAGTACAATAGAGAAGAAAGACTAAGACTTTGATAAACAGAACACAAACTACACAATCAATAGGTTTAGCCTATCAAGCTTCATAGTGAATTTAGCTCACAACACTCTAAATAATGGCTTTAGGCCATAACTCTCTCAAGGATTCTCACTAAATTTCTGCCTAACCTTTTTTTTTCTTCTCTCCTCTCTCTATTTATACTAAAACTAAGTACTATTAACCTAACATAACAACAATACTAGGCTACCAATATTGCCCCTACTTAGACTAGTCTATTACACACTACACTGTGTTTGATGCTGTGAGTTCACTTCAAATTGGTCTTGCTTAAGTTGGTGGCACAATTCATATACTATGACCCATCTTTCTGTACTACTTTATATATACACTCCCTCCATTATCTAATAGTTGAACCACTTTGAATTTGTACACTTTGCATGTACTTTGATCATATTTTTCTATTAACTTATAAAACAAATTTTATAGTGTAATATGTCAATGAATTTGTCTTAATGTGTATTTTCTAACATTAATTGTTTTTATAATTATTAAAAAAATATTTAAAGATATTAGTAGTCAAAGCTCTACATTGACAAATGTGCCCCAGTCAAAGTGAAACAACTAACAAATTAAAAAGGGAAATTAGAATATTAAAAATGTAGGTGTTTTTTTTTAAATTATCATTTTTTTTATTTCAATTGTATAATTAGAATTGTTGATTGAAGAAGTGCATTGTTATGCTCATAAGTTAAACAGCTGCCTCTATTTTATAATAGAGAAAGTATTACTAGTGACATTATATATCATGTCACTGTTGGATTGTAATAGTGTCAAGATTTTCAGGTTTCAGGAGCAGGAAAAAATCAAACACTTGCTGCTTGCAGCAAGAGGCCGAGGACAGTAGACAAGTATTCAGCATTTAATTTGCCTATTCCCAGCGAAATTATTTATCACATATTATTACTCTTTCCTGCTTCAGTTCTTCAGGAGATTGTGAGGTTCGTTTGCAAGGAGTGGAATGCTATAATCAATGACCCGCTCTTTATTAGAGCCCACCTGCTTCAGTCCTTGTCATCTCCTGCTACTACTGGTTTCCTTATTCAAGACAACAACCTGCATGATGCTAAGCTAAAGCGGGCCTTTTACGTTCACCCATATGATCGTGCTATCAGTATACTTAAGCTTCCATTTGAAGCCACAATTTTGGGTTCTTGTAACGGTCTACTCTTGCTTCAAAATGCCATCGTTCCAAAAGAATTGTTTGTAGTGAATCTCATAACTAAAGCGCACATCAGTCTCCCTCCCCTGCCCCTCACCGTGCCAAGGGTAGTTGTTCATCCTAAACCTTTAGTTCATCATAAACCTTCTGCTGTTCTAGCATTTGTGCCTTCTTCAGGTCAATACAAAGTCTTATATGCTTGTTTCGTCTCCGAATATGAACATCCACCATATCTTGAACCTGGGAAATTCAAACTTATGGTATGGACAGTAGCTGTTGATGAAACTTGGAGGGCCATTGACTGTCAAGGCATTACTATGAGTAATGAGGCAAAGAAGACACTATTGAGTCACCCGTTTTCTACTGCAGGAGGGTATATCTGTTGGTTTCATACAGATCACTATCTTGGTTTAGCCTTGGATATAGATGCTGAAACCATGTATCAATTTGCGGGGCCAGTGTATCAATTTGGGCCAAAAAATCGTACAATGTACTTCAGTCGGACTTGCTGTATACCGATGGACACCGGTGCGGGTATAATACATATGCGATCCCCTCCTTGGTGTTGGAAAGTCTGGGAAATGATAGAACCGAAAACTGGTCCTTGGGGTAGATGTACAAATATCGATTCAGCTGGTATGTATTCGGCGCTTGATAGACATTTCCATCCTTTAAGGTTTGGAGGCGCTATACCTCTTTTTATTAGTTTGAAAACTGGAGAGTTTTGGTTATTTGGCAACGTGAGGTCCACGCCTAGCATTACTGTAGCGTTGGTTTGTTACAATTGGAAGACGGGGAGTATTTGGTCATCTCCAATTAATTGGCAAAGACATTTTGACCTCCCACTTCTCCACGTAAACAGCTTGCTATCACTGAAGAATTTCTAGTTGTGGATAGGGGTGTTCAACAACTGGTCCGGACCTGAAAAAATGGACCAAATTGGACCAGACTGACCTCGGACCCCTACCGGTCCGGTCTTCGGGTTGAGAAATTAATTTTTTCGGTCTTCGGTCCGGTTCGGTCCAAAATCTTATAAAAACCAATCTTTGACCAGATCCCTTTTTTGCTTAAAACTATGCATAAAATATTTAAAATAATTAATATTGTTCTTAATAAATTAGGAAGACTATAAGTTTATGAGTTTTTTAGTATTAGATTTACAAAAAAAAGGGAATAAAATGAATTTTCCTTTATTTTTTTGCATTTCATAGTATAATTAAAAAGAATTTAAAATATTACAAGCATATTCTAAAACTTGTTCGAATCGGTTTGGTTTTCAGCTCTTAAAATTTAATTTTCTAGTCTTCAGTCCGGTTTTGGACCGATGAACAACCCTAGTTGTAGAAAGGCAATCACCGTGTGAAGTGCAAGTGTTGTGTAGTTCTATGGATACATGCATGTGGGACTGGAGACTCACTAATTGACGTTTATGTTAATTTTATTCCCGTTCCCTCCCCTCCAACTTTTTGTTCAGGTCACTTGGACCTAATGTTGTATAATTTGATGTAGACTTGATTGACATCATCATATAAGTTATTTGTAATTCTCTTCCCCCATTTGTTGTAACTGATCACATTGTACTTATCAATTCAATGTTTGTGGAATGAAGATTCTTTTGAATGATATCTTAATTTATTTTACTCCTTTTCTCACTTCAAGAAGACCAAAACGGGGGCATTTAGTAAAAAAGCGATAGAACATTTGCACACAGGTGTGTTGGTGTATATATAGTATGCATATGATTTAATTTCTTGGTCGATGCTAGCTAGAATGAGTTCTTATATGTCTTCTGCCACCCTATACAGTCTTGGAGGATCGAATGTGTTTCAAGAAATCAGTAGGCGAGTCCATTATTAATTGTTAGTTGTTAGTTATTCATTATTCATTAATAATTATTTATTATTCATTTTTTTTTTTGAAAGGAAAAATAATTCATTCATAGAAGAGACATATTACATCAATAATATAGAGAAAAACTAGGAAATACGATACAAATTGAATCAAATAATATTCTAATTGGACAAGACTACTATCGTTGTAAATAAGATTTGAAAATTCTAAATGCCCTCTTTCACACCGTTGTTTGATACAGCCTTTCACGAGGGGGTCTTCCGATCTATTTTAGTTTTGCAATTGGAAAACATTTGATGCAATTGATTGCAGATGTAGAATTAACCTCCATAGTGACATAACACAAATCTTCATCAATAAATCAATTTTCCTAAACTCTTATAAAGAGAGAATTTAACTTGATATACAGGTAGATATAACCCGATATACGGGCAGAAAACTCTCAAATAAAGAGAGACTAATTATTGTAAGCGTAAATAAAACAAGTAAACTAAAAGAGTAGGGGCTTACCATCAATCAAAAGGTTGGTGGTAGCCCCTAGAAAAATTTAGGATTTGTTTAGGTTTTGAGGGGGAAGAGTGAGAAGAGAGAAAAAAATTCTATTAATTATTCATTATTCACTATTAATTATTAACTATGAACTATGAACTATTAACTATTAATTATTAATATTGTTTATAATGGTGGATACGAAATTTTCAATGATATAATGAAGCCACTTGAAGGGTTTAGGGTTTAGGGTTCAGGGTTTCAAGGTTCAGGGTGTATGTCTGAGACTTGGTTAGGAGTGTTAATGAGCCGAGCCTGCTCGTGAATGTCTAAGACTTGGCTCGACCGAAGCTCGATATATGCTCAGCTTATGACTCAACCCAAAATCTTAACGAGCCAAGAGTTATCCTTTGCTCAGCTTGAAGGCTCAAGCTATACATATATATATATATTTGTAATAAATTAATTATTAGCATAAACAAATTTTCATATATAAGGGTAGGGACTAAAATTAATCTTAGGAACTCTCTAGTGTTGAGCTTTCCTTGATTATTTTTGTTTACATAGAAGAACCAACAAAAAAAAGAGGAGGACAGAAGTAGTCCCACATTGAAAGATAGGAGCAAGTGATAGGATATGATAGTTGTAAAAGCAAACTTTGAAGGTCTTAGAAACAATGACTATAGTCACTATTTGGGCCTGGTTAAATGGACTAAATACTAAAGTATAGCTATATTATATGATAAAAGAATTAAAATTTTACTTTATCCAAATTTTGTTGGGCTTGACAAGCCTTGGTCGAGCCTCAAGACGAGCCGAGCCTTTAGGAGTGTCTAGCTCAAGCTGAACCTAACTAAAGGATTGTCCAGGCACGGTCTTGGCTCGGCTTGTTAACACCCCTACACATGGCTAGTTTGATGAGGCACAACTTTTAAAAAAAAATATGCTATTTTAGGAAAAAAAAAATCGTAAAAAAGGCTTGGATATGAGTTTTAAAAAGTTCAAATAAGGATAAGGGAATCACATGATTGTAAGAGGAAGGTGTGGAAAAGAGAGGAGGGGGAGAATAGGTGGAAGAGGAGAAAAAGTCAAAGGAGAAAGAATTTCATAAAACCCGATAGGAAAAAATGATAATTGTGATATAAGAGGATAATAAAGGCAAAGAGAGTGAAAACGAGCAAATCAAAGAGTAGATTTGACCTCGAAAGCTTAATTGACAATGAACTCTGACACATTAGGTGAAGAAAACCACTAAAGACTACTGCCAACAATATCAGACGTAACTGGCAACCACCAATTTCCCAATTGCTTCACAACTAACGAATTAGGGTTTTCTATCAATCTATGATTAGGGCTTTTAAATTGGAGGTTCAATTGAACTGAATGAA